AAAAAAAAAAAACAACTAGAATTGGAGGTCCCACTTATCCCAGCCATTCCCCTTGTGGGTATTTTCCCAGAAGAATTAAAAATATCATACCACAATGACACATGTGCACCCATGTTTATAGCAGCACAATTTGTTATAGCTAAATCTTGGAAACAACCCAAACGCCCATTAACTGTGGAATAGATAAAAAAGATGTGGTACTTTTTATACAATGGAGTTTTACTCAGCTATGAAAAAAGATAAACTCAAGGCCTTTATAGGTAAATGGATACAGCTAGAGACCATACTCATAAGTGAAATAAATCAGACCCGTATATGCAAACATCGTATCATCTCCCTAGTGTAATAACCTAAAAGAGTAAGTGAAATCCAAAAGGTACAATAGATATTATGAAAGGGAAAGAATTTGCTCAGAGGGAAGTGACAACTTGGATGAAGGAAAGGAGAAAAAGAAAGGGAATATACATATATAGAGATAGATAGCTGGGATAATTGTACTGCTGATGTCTAATGGTTTATTGAAAGGAACAATTAATGCTAAATTTTTTTGACCAATTTTACATGCTGATATCTGGTAATCTGAAGACAACAATATGCAATGTAACAACCATTGGTGAATTCCTACCATCTTGTGTAGTAAAGTTCTGTATCAGTTCTAATTTTTTATTATTATTATTATTTTTTATTCTCTTTAATTGATCAATTTTGCATTCTTTCATCTCATAATCTGAGCAACTTCAGTGAAGATAACAATATGTAATGGAACAACCACTGTTAATTTCTATCATTTTGTTTTGAAACCCCATATCATTTTTATTATTTTTGCTTTGTTTTGCTTTTGTCTATGTTGTGGTTATTTTGTTATTTTTTTTTTGTTCTCTTTAAAATATAAATAAATAAATAAATAAATAAGAAAGAAAGAAAATGTCAAATGCGGTTTAGCTCGAGCAAAGGGAAAGTAGTGGCACTGGAGGAAGCACCCCAAGTAGAATTAGCCCTAAACACTCAGGTGTTACTTATGAAACAGTTGTAACAATAACTGCCAATAAGGCCTGCTAAAGAGGTAAAACTGCAACAAAAACTAGGCCACCACTGGAAGGAGCAGAGGCAACAAAAGAGAGTATTCACCTTTCTGTGCATCAAAATTGCGAGGGTGCTGGGGAAATACCGGCTGCCAGGCATTGAGACAAGCAATGCTACCTGTGAAGAGGGCAAGGCCAAGCAGATAAGCTAAAAGATACAGCTAGAGACCATACTGATCAGTGAAACCTGAAAGAAATACAGCTTGGTGAACACACACTGCACCAAAAAGTAAGATTTTAGCCGTGAAGAGGAAACTCTTTTTGTTTATTACATAAATATGGGAATTCATCAAAATCCTGTATTGTATAGAGCATAGATCTATTCACCAAATGCTGGAAGTTAAGATTAAAAATATAAATTTAACACACTCAAAACAAAGAAATACTCGACACCAGGTTAATAAACCTAAGGAGCGTATTTTCTTAAGAGGCAGAATTTGAAAAACTTGGGGAGTGTATAGATAGACAACACTAGCGGGTTATAAGGGAAGCAAGGGATGCCTGCGGTCATCATTTGAGATTACGGCTAAAATGCGGTGTCATTTGAGAAAAGGTCCCCAAACTGTGGCTTTCTACAAATTATCTCTCAAAGTCATTCTCGGAAAGACCAATGTACGTATTCAGTGCGGCTCTTCTTTTTATAAAAACTAGTTTTCAAAGTAGAACCGGGCAAGGAGACAAGCATCTGTTCCTCTCCGTGGCGCGTGTAGACTTAGCCTCCCCGCTCAGGGCTGTGGACAACCACCCACCTGGAGGTGCATCTAGGATAACGGGGGGGCGGGGCCCCTGAAGAATTGGCTGTGTGCCCATTTGTGTCACAGACACGGTCCCAGGAGCAGTTGAGGTGGAGCTTCTCTAGCTTGAAGGGGCGAGGTGGTGATTAAGTGCTTGTCCAGAACTGAAAATGGCCCAGCTATTTCGGCTGCTGTGTCTGTCTGGAGTGGACAACCGAGTGGGCAAAGAAGCAGAAGGGGAAAGGAAAGGACAGCGGGGCCCGTGGGGCCACCCTCAGTGCACCGGGATCTTGGGCGAGAGAACTAGCTCCTCAGGGCAAAATGTTGCCGGCTCCTCCAAGCAGCAAGAGCATGCCAACTCACAGAAGCACAGGTACCCTCGGGCTGGACGGTTGCGGCAGGCGGAAAAACCTGCCTGACACCCTGAAAGGCCGGGGTGGGATGTGAGAATAGAGGAACCACCCAGGCCTATGAGCACAGCTCTGGTGTCATCCTTTGAAATCTGGTTTCCGTCCTGAGAGTTCCTCTTTGATCTCTCAGGTGAAAAGTCTGGTCCCTGTGAAACGAAACTCCATTGTACGGGGATATCTTGCCCTTTATCCAGATCCTCTTCTGGGTAACTTGTTTCCCGACAAAGACATCGGAAGTGACTGTCTCCAGGCTGGCTCCGGGCCTTCCTGGCAGAAGCAGTGCTGCATCTCCTGGAAATAAGCTTTGCTAAAGTCCCCTATAACGTGGGCAGGACGTGCTTTCACTCTCCCTGCAGTAGGACTTACTTTTGCTCGTTCTCTGCCTTTTGGTCTATGTACCTGTCCTTCCTTCCACCTCCCCTTCCCACCCTGTCTCTACTGCTCTTCTACTCAGCACATTTTTCAGTCTACAAAATCTAGCAGCACATTTATTACCCCTGGGTTACTCCACAGACAATCAGGAAAATGCATTTCAGCATGATGAAGTGGCATGCACAATAATATATAGCAAAATAAATTACTCTATAAACAGAGAGAAACATTTCACTAATGTAGAGCCCAGGAATATCTGAAGGTAACAATTTACTTCAATTAACAATTATTTGGTAAAGAAAAAAAACCCATGAGTCAGAACCTGCTATTTATAAAGGGTTTTAGAGTTATGGAGGGCAATTATTCAGCCGGTGAGTTTGTTAGGATGGAGGGCAGGCTGCTGTCGCTGAAGGATTTTTCCTCCTTTATGTCAGTGGCTTTGTGTTACCCCAGGCCTAAGCTGATGTCCTCCAGATTCTCACAGCCAGGTGCATAACTTTGTTTGCCCTTAGCACTCTGCTTTGGGACTGATATTTCATGTATATGTACCTCTGACCATATTGCATGCTTCTTGAGTAATAGGAAAGACCTCATCTGATTGAGCTCTGCATCTTGGGAACCTGGAATAGGGTCCCCAACACGGCAGACAATAAATCCGTGATTGGTAGGTGAGTGACCGGATAATTGATAAGGACTCCAAGACTGATCTCTGCAAGATGGCAGGATCAAAAAACAGTGTATGGGGCTTCGTGCCTCCTGTGACCGGAGAGATGTGGGTCGGCCAGGTGAGCTGCAAGACCAAGAACCATCATGAATTGTCTTGATGTCCTTTAGGACAACCTCATGCATGGTGGGTCCTACAGGCAAACTTTACCATAAATTTACATAGCACTATTGTAAGCAGCGGATCAAAATTAGGAGTGTTTGCTTGTGTCCCTCCTCAGTGAGGCCTCTGTGGACCGCCTGTTTACAATTCTTTTTTTTTTTTTTTTGGTTTTTCTCCAGTACTGGGAACCGAACTCACGACCGTGCACTTGCCAGGCAGGTGCTTTGCCACTGAGCTAAATCTCCAGCCCCCTGTTTACAATTCTATCTACCCACCCAACACCAGGGCTCCTGAGTCCTCTGTGTCCTTCATTAACTTTCATAATTCTTATCTTTTTCTAATATACTCATTTTGTTTATTATTTACTATTATCTGTCCTCTAGGAAACACGTGCCAGCACACCATAGGCACTCAATAAATGTGTGTTAAATGAATGCATATTATCTTGTAGTCCAGGAAGTATAAACTGCAACCTAAAGCAATGGTTTTAAATTTGTCCTTTGGAAAGCTGAGGTCCACTGAGATACTTCTGGCTGTGGAAGCTGAGAGGGAGTCATGTCAGTGCAGGTGATGGGCCCAACCTTTATACAACCACTTTTCTACATGTTAAATATTGAAGTTTCATGAAATATTTCTTTTGAAAAAGGAATTTTGCTTTCAGTGAAACATGTCTGAAAGTCACTGATGCAGGGCAAAAATATACGTCTTCCTGTATTTAAACAAAAATGTACCATGAAAGGTCTTTACTGTTTTATCTATACTCTATGGCTTACGTAAAAGGAGAAAGAGCTCTTATGTACTGTCATCCACAGCATCTCCCCCAGGACTCCTCTGCTTGGATCCACGGACCAGCAACTTAGTAAGATCGCAAGGCAGCTTGCTAGAAGTGCAGAGTCTCAGCCCAGTGGCTTCTAAGCTACCTCTGAGGGCTACGTCTTTGGCACTGTAAATCCTCATGTTTTCCAGAAGCAGCATTTCACCTGGGCTGCCCTCTCCTGGCAGAGTCAGCAGTGCATAAGACTGCTGGCCAAGTGGGGTCAACAGAGCAGCAGAGAAGGGAAAGCGGGGTATGTGGACACCCCACACTCGAGATAATTGGACTGGAACAGCTGACTGCATGACCAGGACTGGATCATTTGGCGAAGAACAGAACAAGAGCACAAGTAATTGAAATCTACTACATCCCCTGAACTTCATTTCAGCCAATACGTTCAACCTCTTCCTGTAATAAATCTTCTACCAGGCCTGCTAGCCAGAGGTAAAATGAATGGAATTAAGTTTCAGCTCCTATCTCTGCTTCCTCGCCAAGTGGACATACTAACAAGGGGTGGCGTATCTCAAAACCAGGCAGCAGAAGAAGGAAAAGGGTGAAAAGAAAGAGAATGAGAGGTACTGTGCAATCCAAAAGCCTCACTGCCACGCCTTAGCCTCTGAAAACAGAAGGGCTCAGCAGTTCGAAAGTACACACACCCTGAATGTCAAACTTAGCTCATGAAACTTGGAAAAAGAAGCTTAGTAGGGCAGCCTAGCTTTCACTCACTGCGTACAATCAAACAGAGCGACTGTAATATTTCTTGAGCAATTGTGGGAAATCTCATGTACCTTTCAGCCCCACTTTACCACCCCTGTAACAGGGCTGTGGTTCTTGATGAAAGATTTGTCATCTTCCCATATGACTTTGATCGTGTCATTTGGCAGCACTGCAGGAGGACACGGATGTGGGTGAGCTCTGAAACTATCCATGAAGAGATGAATAAAAAGTCAACAGTATTATCCACATCATTAGTTCACGTAATAAAAAGTGATTAAATACAGCTAGCTTTCAAATGCATGTGAAATAGATCTGGCTGACGTATAAATTTTCATAACGCTTGTGTTTTGCTTGGGTTGAATTACCTTAAATAACAGAAAATCATCATCCTACTCACTGATCACCGTCAACCCTGGAGTCATTACTGGATTACGACAGCTTTGTAAGAAGGGTTGGACGGTGCTGCACTTTGCATTGCTAGTGTCATTACTCTTCTGATCAGTAAGCCCCAGTTTGTCTTCAGAAAGAAGAACCATAACACAAACATTTGGGTTGCTGAAGGAGAGAACGGGGTGTGTGAAAGCTGGAAAGAGGAACTTATTGTGAAATGCGGTTTCGTGAGATCAAAAGACTTGGTGAGTCAGATATGGGTGTTTACTTTCTCTGTTTTTAGAAACTATCAAAAATTATAGAAATTCCAAACTCATTTCTACCTTTCTGGCCTTTTCTGGGTGTAGGAAGGGGTAAGCCAGGAGACTATGGGTTTGGAAATTTCTGGAACACTCTCCAGATGGCTGAGTCATGGCTTCTTATAAAAGCTTCTTGGAATGCTACCAAGTCTCAGCTCCCCAATCAACAGGAGCTCCTTTTAACATCTGCAAAGCATGTCCAACGATAAACACTATCAGTCACACCTCGTCATTAAAAGACTGCGTTCAGATTTCAGTTTTGTAATTTAATCTATCATGGTAAATTTTGCCATGGGATTGTATTAGACTCTCGCAGCTGACATTTTTTGTCGTTATTGCTGTTAGTCACTTAGCATCGTCCAAAGCTACTTGCTCATTTCTCTTTGAAATCTTTTCCCTGATTTCCATTAAGGGATCCCATGTCCCTTCTATTTCTCTGACCAACTCTTTTCTTTCTCTCTTTCAGCGGCTCACTGTCCTCAGTTTCACAGTTAAATGTTGGTGTTCTGCAAATTTATTGTGTCATTGACCATGGAGCCCTAGCCTGCTCTTGTTTGCTTCGTGCTGTGTTCTCTCTCTCCAGGCAATGTCATGCACCCCATGGCTTCAACTACCAACCACATGTGAGCACTTCTGAATTATCACCTGCAGCCCCAAGCTGTCTGCTGGGAAGGAGGTTGTGTTACAGCTTTCTTCTTGATACCTCTGTTTGGATTCTAACAGTCACCATTCTACTCACCTCCAGTGATGGACTTCTTCTCTTCTCCCATCCAAAGGTACCACCGCTCATTCGGATAACAACAGAAGGCAGAAAATGAGACCTATTCTGTGACACTTGCCTGTCCTTCGCCTTCCATATTAAACCCATATCCTAAGTTAGGTTGCTGAAATCCTCAAATCTTTCAACTAAGCTGTCACCATCCCATATCGAGTTAGTATCTCTCACCACTGCTGCTTTTGTTAGACCACTCTCTCAATGATTCTCCACACTACAGCCAGAGCGATCATTTAAAAATATAAATTCATGATGACTATCCTTGTCTACTAGCTTTGCATTGCTCTTAAAATAAGGATCAAGCATCCTGAACCCTGACTCCAAAGTACCTATGAATTCACCTCTGATGACTTTACTGGGGTCACCTTACCCTTGTCTTACCTCTGCGCTCTGCCACACTGGCCTTCATGTCAGTTCTTTATATTTTCTAGGCCTTTTTTCAAATAGTTTTTCTTTTTGGAATTCTGCTCTCTTCCTTGCTGCCTTTCTATAATGTTTTTCAAGATTTCATCATCACTTGATCTTCTCTTTTCACTCTCACAATTTTCTATACGCCTGTGGTTCCAATCACTTCTGCCTCTTTCAGACCTTTAGAAGAATACATTGCCAATAACAGATTTTTTTTCTTTTTGTTTTTGTTTCATTTTTTTTCAGTACCTGGAATTGAACTCATGACCTCGTGCTTGCCAGGCAGATGCTGGGCCGCTGAGCTAAATTCTCAGCCTAATAACAGATATTTCTACTTCAGTGTTTACAAATGTCTTAACTTTAGCATGACCCAAACTCATCTTTCCTTCCTCTAAATCTGTCCCTCCTTGTGTCCACTATATCCTGGTAATGTTCTATGGAGTCTCGAAGTCACTCACTTTTAAAATAACAACATCATTGAGATATTAATTATGTGATAGTTAACTGATGGTGTCAACTTGAGTAAGAAGCGCCCCGCTAAATTGGATCGGCACAGTTCTGGGTGTGGCTGGGGGGATTCACTGAAGACGGAAGACCCGCCCTAGGGTGGCTCGGCGCCTGGGTGGTGTGAAGGGGAAACAGGAAGGCTCGCTCGGGTTCTGCCCGGGAGCTGCGGTCTTCACCTTTGCCGCGGACACTGTCTTCAGCTTTTCAGCACAGACCCTCTGGCCTTCCGCTATGGACTTGCTCAGGACTCAGTGAGCCTTTGACTGGACCCTCTGGATCATGCAGACAGACCTTTTGCACTCTTCCACACCTCATTTTGTGGGTGGCCATTATAAGCCAATCTTGTAAATCCTTATATATTTGTATATTCTGGACTAAATCTATTTTTATAGTAAGCACTGACTGATACAAATTATATGCCATACAATTTACCCTTTAAAGTACACAATTGATGATCTTTGGTATATTCAAAGGGTTGTTTTATCTAATTTTACATTTTATCACCTCTAAGCCCATTAGGAGCCACTTCCATCCATCCCTCCTCAAAACCCCTGGAAACCATAAATCTACTTTCTGCCTCTATGCATTTGCTTACTATAGACACTACAAGAGAATCAAAAAAGAAATGCAATTATATAATATGTCCCTTTTTGTGTCTAGTTCCTTCCATGTGATATATTTCAAGGTTCATCCTCATTGTACCATGAATTGGTACTTCATTCATTTTCAAAGATGATTAATATTGTATTCCATAGCTACACCACATTTTCTTTATCGTTCATCTGTTGATAAATATTTGTTTCCTCTTTGGGCTAGTTGCAATTGATGCTGCTATGCATATTTCTATATAGGTGTTTGTGTAGATGATTTCAGTTTTTTGGTTTTATAAACCCTAGGAATAGAATTGCTGGGTCTCACTGTAACACTAAGTTTGACCTCTTGAGAAACTGCCAAACAGACTTCCATAGTGGAAGTAGAGCACATTTTACATTTCTACGCTACGGATGCCTCGGTTTCAATGCACCTTTGCCAGTTGAGCCCCTCACTTTCGCGGCGTAGTGCAGCAGATGCGGAACAGAAGGTAGAGCTGGTTGGTTGCCTATCTCAGTTATCTGACCTCAGCAGCGGCTCCTGAGCCTTCGTCCTCCTGTCCATACACATTGTCCCTGTCTATCTTAGACCAGAGCTTCATCACGTTTCCTCCGGGAGACTGAAAGTCTTTCAAAAGTTTTCTTTCTCTTTCTGCTTGTCCTTCTTACCTCTGTCTATACCAAATTACTAAGAGCCAGATGAAAGCTCTAATTATGCCACTTAAGGGGTTTAAAAAAATCCTTTTATGAGTTCTCATCGATAACTGCGTAAAGCTGAACTCCTTGGACAGGCACACAGGCCCTCTACGGTATGTTATTGTGAGTATTTTGGTCATAATTCCAACTACTGTAGTATAAGAGTTGACTGGTTTGTAACACCTTTCCTGAATAACAACAATCACATTCCAAAGTAAAACCATCTACACTTTACTGTTCCTTTCTTAGTATTTTCATAGACATATCTGGTTATATGTCAGAATATAAGTCTTAAAACATTGTGCAAGTTGTTGAAAAAAGTAGGTGCTCAATAAATATGTAATGAAAGAATGACAAATGTGTGAATAAATATTTGCTTTCATATCTTTTTTTCATATGTTTTTGTATTCATTCAACTCCACTCAGTAAAGCTCCTGAGGCCACAGGTCTGTGTCTACAACAGTTTTGAATCCTTATCAGGGAATGTAAGACTTGACATATACTAAGTGTTCAATAAATACTTCACGAATGAATGACTCTATCAAACAAAAGGGTGCTGTTTGGAGGGGCATGCTCTGAGCTTCCCTAGCAGCTTGCCCTTGAAAACAGCTTTCTCGGCCTGGAATACCACCTCTCACTGCCCAAAGACCCATCTCCAGTACCACTTCCTCAGTCATTCTTTTCTTTCTCAGCGGGAAGCCGTCTTCTGCTGCAGTACTTCGTCAGTACCCATCTGAAGGTGGGTCCTGTCCTGCCTTTCCTTTGCACGCCTCTTCTCCAACACTACCTGTGCTTAGTTCCGCCCTCAATTAAAAGCTACATTAGAGGAGAAAATGTGTGTTACTATTCCCAGGAGAATGCGTTACACAAAAGTAGACTGTAAGAACTGAGTCAGGAAATTACATATTAATGTTTAACTGCTGTTTTGAAATTAAAAGATACATACAGTGAGTTTCGCTTTTCCCCCTCTTTATTTTTCGCATTTTAGGATATGGCACCATTATGCTACAAGCTTGGAATCATATCTGATTCTACTATTTTCCTCACCCCCACCCAGCCCGACACCAAGTCCTATTGTTTATAACTCCAAGGTAGATCGTGAATCCATCTATTTCTCTTTTTTTTTTTTTTTTTTTTTTTTTTTTTTTTTTTTTTTGGTTTTTCTCCGGTACGGGGAACCGAACTCACGACCTTGCGCTTGCCAGGCAGGCGCTTTGCCGCTGAGCTAAATCCCCAGCCCCAAATCCATCCATTTCTCATTGCCACCTTGACTACCACTCTCTTCCAAGTGCTGTCATCTCTTGCCCTAACACTGCAATAACCTTGTAACATGTCTCTACTTTCATTTCTCTGTCTCTACAAGATTGAATTTATATATTCATGGTATTACATTTATGTTAAATTTATGCATTAAAAATATGCAACATATTTCTGGCTTCCTATTGCATTTTGATTAAATCCAAACCCCTTTGTGTGGCCACGCTCTTTCTTTTAGGTTCTCGGCCCATTCCAGCCTCCTGCTCATCCCTCTTCACTTCTCCCGGTGAGCCTGGTCTGGAGGATGAGGTGGGAGTGGTATTTTACTTTCCACTCTGATAATAAAACTGCGTAGCTTTGGACAAGTCTCTTTACCTCTACAGTTCAATCATTTATCTCTAAAATGAAGGGAGTAAGCTAAATGATCATAAATGTTCCTTTTAATTTAATTATCTTCTAAATTCCTGAAAGCTCTAGATTCTACAGTTAGGATGGCTTACTTGTAGTTTAGAAAAAACCTCCCAGAACATGAAAGAAAAGAGGTTGGTAATGCTATTCTGTAATATTTATTATGCCCAAACAGATCTGTCTTCTGAGACCAGGAAGATGAAAACGATTGCTTCATAAAGTATATAAGTGGCTGAGTTATTCTACTTTCATTTTAACAAATGAGGATTTCACAGTCCCTAAAGTGACTGCTGCTACTTTGTATATGTCATATTGATTTATTACCATCACATAACTTCGCTGGGAAAAGTTTATAGTTTTTTCTTTTATTAATCTCTTCTGTTGAGTGGGAGTTGTTATTAGTTTCCTAATGCTGCTGTAACAACTTAGGATGCACTGGGTGACCAGGTGATTTTAAGGACCTCAAATTTATTATCTTGTAGAGGTCAAGTCCAGAATGGGTGCTGGGGGGCTAAGATTGAAATGTTGGCAGGACTGGGTCTTTCTGAGCCTTGGGGAAATAATCTCTTCCTGCCTGGTGACTGCCTCCTTTGCTCCCAGCCCCAAAGCTTCAGAACCAGCAATGGAGGTGAAATTGTTTTGTCGGGGAGGGACTGTATCATCTGCCACAAACTTCTGCCCCACTTTCCATGTTTAAAGGCCCCTTATGACTTATTTGAGCACCTGGATAAATCTTCTTAGGTTCATTGGTTAGTAATCTTAATTTCTTCTGTAATCATAAAACCTCCTTGTCATGTGGCATGACATGTCCACAGTTTCTGGGGATTGTTGTTATTCTGCTTAACACAGGAAGAAAAAAGATTTCCGTGGGTGCCTCTTGGAGTTCTTGTATTTGTCTTACCTCTGTACCTTCTCTCACACACGGATGAGATAATCTGGGGGTCAGAAATTGCAGAAAGGTGAAACAGATGACAAAAATGACCCAGTTCAATATTCTCTTAGAGATGCAACACCGAAACTCAGATCACACAGATTTGTGTCCCTGCTGTGTGGGATCCAGGCCCGAACCCATGCTTTCTAAACCTCGATCCAATCTTTTTGCCAATACAGCACCCAACAAGACCTCTACTATTCAATACTGATCCACAGTTCTGTTTTTAGGTTTGTCTTTCAAATGTTGGTTACATGTGAGTTGCTGCCCATTATTTATTTATTTATTTATTTATTTTGAAGAGTAAAAGAAGGATAACATAATAATAGGGGGGACTTAGCAAATTACAGACAAAACGATAGCAAACGATCAATGGTTATTGTTTTACATATTGTTATCTACAAAATAGTTTCTCAGGAAAACAAATAGACAAATAATAGTGAGTTAGAGACAAAAGAGGTAGGAGATT